CACCAGTCCCGGCCACGCCCACCGGGGCAGGACCATCTACTGCTCCGCCCCCAGCCTCTCCCTCCCACCGGCCCCAGGTAAGCGTTCACCTGGCGCCGCGCCCACCGGGGGCCTCGCCGGCATAACGTGGAGCCCCCGGGCCTGAAGAGCCCGGCGTGGGGGGATGGGGAGGACACAGGAGTTTCTGCTGCTTTGGGGCAGGTGGAGAGAGAGAGGTGTAGCATTCCCCAGATGCCCAGGATTGAGTCACAGGAGAAGGACACCCTCCCACCTGCACCCCTATTCCCGGGGTCTCCAGCCTGCTCGTGCAGCTTTCTCTGCTCTAATTCAGGAGCCCTGGGAGCGGGGGAAATGCTTGGCGAAGATGGGGATATAGGAAAGAGGACGTGGAGCCCTCTTGCAAGACCAAGAAAGAGAGAAAGGGAAGAAACCCCAAAAAGCCTCAAACTCATTGCTATGGAGTTGGAACCGGTGGAACTGACTCAAAGCTGATCCTCCTCAGTGCCCTGCGGAGCTGCAGGTGGATTTGAACCGCCAGAGAAGCGCTGACCTTGGACTAGCAGAGCAACTCCCTACAGACTAGGCCAGAGGAGTTTGCTTGGAAGGTGCAGAATGCCCCTGACTGTCTCGGGCCTGGACCTCAGGGAATTTGACAAGGACTGTGATGTTCTTGGGGCCCAGACTCCCAGCAGAGAAAATGGGAATCGACAGTGCTGGGCCACGAAGCTCTGTCCTTCCATAAAGTTTTACTCTAACTCCTGTCTGGAGGTTCTGTGGCCAGGGTGTCTTGGAGGGAGAGCTGGTGTGACACTGAGAGTCTCAAGCACTGGGTCAAATGAAGCAAAAACAAAATATAACTTGCAGTGAATGCCAAACCCTGCATGAAAAATTTCTCCCAAATCAGCCATGCGTACGGAACATCAGGTGACAGTGACCTGGGCTTTGCTGTGAACATGGTGTGGATGGGGGCAATGTGGTGGGAAGATGGCCGCTGTGATGTTGAGCTTGATCTTTAATAATTCTTCCACCCCTGTTAAGCCCAGGGGTTCTATTTATTGAGGTAACATGCCCCAGTCTGTGAGGTATAGACCTGGATTCAAATCATCGGAGTTAGCAAACCTGAGATATGAAAGATGTCCCACTGGTACAATGATTAAGAGTTTGGCTGCTAACTGAAAGGTTAATGGTTCAAACCCACTCAGCAGCTCTATGTGGACAAGAGAGGGAATCTACTTCTGTAAAGACTATAGCCTAGAAAAATCCTGTGGGCACTTCTACTCTATCACAGGTCACATAGGGTCTGCTGTGAACAAAAAAATAGACTCCAGGGCACACGACAGCCAGTATATCATGGGGTTCTTGTGCCGTAAGAGTGATGTCAAGTGCCCAGGAGATGCCTGGCACTCAGTGCCAGCTTGTTACAGCTGAGGTACTGGGAAATGCTAACAGCTGGTTCTGGGGTGAGGGTCATTTGTCATTTCTGTGCTGTAAATGTTCCCTTTTGGGCTGACTTCAGCTGTGGCATTGTCGCCGATGACTGGAGTTGGGAAGAGATGCCTGTGGTCATTTCTGCAAGCCAGCTTGGGCAAGCTCCAGCACATGAGTGGCAAAGCCTTGGACCAGGCACAGAGGTGGAGCGGCCTAAGCTGGACCCCTGTGTGGGACTCAGAGAGGAGGAAGAGATGGGACCGCGGTGACTGAGAGCTCCCACCGGGCCTCTGTCACAGCCAAAGGGCACCTGAGAGTGGCATGTGCAGAGAGTGGGCTGCCCCACCTCTCCTTATGCCCACAAGCACACACTATCAGCACACACACGCACAAGCATGTACATGCCTAGAGAAGGTGGGGGACAAGGAGAGCACATTCTCCGAAAGTGACACATTTAACATTGCATAAAAGTGACATGCTGACATCTGACAAAAGCTTGTGATGTAAAAAAGCTGGGAGCAGCTGCCCAGATGATTCAGTGGAAACTTCAGTGGTTGGACAGCGAGAAACGCACAGAACATATTCTGATGAGTGTCCTTGGGCCCGCGCTGGCAGGTGTCGGTGACGAGGACTCCCTCTTTGGAGTCTTCCTGATGTGATAAGCGTAGCAGGTTCTGTTCATGAGTGACTCTCAGTCGTGCAGCGAGGCTCCAGAGTTCACCTCCTTGGTCAGCAGAGCCTCATGGACGTACCCATGTGGCAGCCCCTTGTTTCTGATGTTAATAATTCCAACAGTACCAATTTCTATGTGGGTGTGTAAGCCTGGCACATGGCCTCACTGAAGCTTCACTCCCACTGGGAGGTGGCAGGCAAACATTATCTCCATTGTACAGATTAGGAAACCGAGGCTTAGAGAGATTAAGGAATTGGTGTGAAGCATTCAGCTGTGAGGAGTGGAGGCATTGGGTGTAGCTCCAGCTCAGGCTCGTGGTGGTTCTGGTTGACCAGCTGACTGAGGGCCTGAGCACACAAAGCCTGGTAGCTTTGCATCATGTATCTTTACTAAGGACCATCAGGTACACACTGAGAGCTGACCCTTGAGGGGTTCATAGTCTAGATGGGGGGATAGCAGTGAAGACAGATTCTCTTCTAAGCTGTGGTATTCTGGATCCCCAAGGAGACACTTGAGGGTGTTCTTTAGGACCCAAAGACTTGTGCCCTAGTTGTTTCTGTGCCGGCCACCACCCCTCCCTGCCCTGTCTGCTTCTTGAGGACAGGGGCTGACCTCTGTTTCTCCAGGCCCAGGACATATTAGGTGCTCGGGAAACGTGCTATAATCTTGATTTCTGGCCTTCTAATGGGGCTGTCGAGATATAAAGTGTCACCCCAACAAGATGCATGCTCACAGAAGCCCCCTCCCACCCTTCTCAGATTATGTGCTTGATCACACACACACACTGACATTCTACAACACAAGCCAGGGCATTCAGTGACCCTTTCCATGTCCATCTGAATTCTTCTATGGACCCACAGCTGCCTGTGGACTGCACGTTCACACAGGCATGCAAGAGAAGCATTCTTAGACATCCACAAGCAGCTACCTGTCTCCATGCAACAGCCCAAGGCAGCAGCCGCGGCTGGGACAGAGCCTCCCTCCCCCACTTTGCGCACACACACTTAGGGGGTCAAACTGTGTGACCGCAGGAAAGGCTTCCCATGATTGCCTGTCTCCCCGGCCCAGGCAAGCCCCTCTCCAAAACAAACCCTCGGCCACCGTCCATCCTTGACTCCATTTCTCCCAAGATTTCAAAGCCCAGCTGAGTCCAGGCCAGGTCAGCGGAGCGCAGCACTTAGAAAAATTCCCCAAACGCAGCCCTCCAGGCCACAAGTGAGCGGAAATGAGGAATTCCAGGCTGGATATCAGCCTCTAATCACCCTCCTGGCTTGGATGGATGGAAATAGAATCTGGGCTGGACAGGAAGTGGGGCTGGGGATGCCCCAGCAGCCTGGAGAAAAGGTGGCGGAGGGCCACCCACCCACCGAGGTGCCGGTGCACATCGGAGGCCTGGACAGGGCTGGCGTGGGTTCATGTACCTCTTCGTCCCTGTGGCCTCATCACGACTTGTCCACCCTGAGCACTCCCAGAAGCCCTAGCACTGCACGTGTGACGACACTTGTGCTTAAAACACTTTCACTTGCATATTGAAATGGCGCAGTTACCATGCTTGGCTGCCAACTAAGGCTGACTGTTCAGTCTACCCAGACGCAGCTCGAAAGAAAGGCGTGGCCATCTCCTTCTGAGAAATCCACCACTGAAAATCGTGTAGAACACAGTTCTGCTCTGATTCACACGGGGTCGTGAACTGACATCGACCTCCTGATGAAGTGGCACAAGGGCAGCACTGTGGCCGTTATACAGATGATGAGAACTCTAAAGTCCAGAGAGACGAGGAACTCCCTCGAGGTCACAGAGCTCACCAGCTAGGTAGCCGGGCACTCCGTGTTTCTAGATGAGTCTGGAGCAGGACTGACTTGAATGAGGTAGACGAAGTGGGCTATGGACTCCCACCCAGAGGAGACACACAGCTAAGCTTAAAAACAAGGAAGAAAGATGATAGAAAAACACACCAAAATACCAGCCAGGAGAGTCTGAAGGGGTGAAAGTATTAGTTAAAAATAAAAATTCTTTTTTCATTTTTAAAATGTTCCAATTGGTCTCCCACTACAGTATGCTGCTCTATCCTGGAAGCCTGGCTGGCCTGACCACTCTTGGCCCTACTCACCAGGAGACTTTCTCAGACCCATTTTCTTTTTTATTAGGGACTATGCTGATGAATGTTGTTGTTAGGTGCTTTTAAGAGAAGTACAACTCACAGCGATGCTATGAACAGTAGATTTGAACCCTCTCCTATCCTATGCCATCTTCACACTTCACACTGGAACCCATTATGGCAGTCACTGGGTCGATCCACCTGGTTGAGGCCCTTCCTCTCCTTCACTGACCCTCCACCCTTCCCAACATCATGTCCCTCTCCAAGGAATAGCCTCTTCCAGCAACATGCCCAAAGTATGTGAGGCGAAGTCTCATCATCCTTGCCTCCAAAGGGCACTCTGGCTGCACCTTCTCCAAGACTTATCTGTTAGTTCTCTTGGCCATCTATGGGATTTTCAGTGCTCTTCTCCAATACCACAGCTCAAAGGCATCAGTTCTTCTTCTGTCATCCTTATTCACTGTCTAGCTCTAAGAATCATAGCAAGTGATGAGGTATACTGTCCTCTATTTGGAAGTGATGGAGACTCCTGTGATATGTAGGCTGCTCATTTCAGGAGAACTGGACCCTCTTCTCTGTTTTTTTTAATATTCCACACTTAACTCATAGCAAGGTTCAGCCCACTGAAGATTTATTCTCACATATTTGTTTGCTCCTTAAGTAAGCCACTCCTTTTAGTAATCTTGAAGTCAAGTCAGTAAATGTTTGGAATATTAATGAACAAACACTGGACAGACCTGACTTGGTGGTGGTTACAACCTCTGACTTTGATTTTACCATCTTCATGGAAAACAGATGCTGAGCTCTCCATGGTATGGACTACATACTTCAGGGAGCTCTGGTGACTTAGTGGGTGAGGAACTGCACTACCAACCCAAAGGCACACAGTTCAAATCCACCAGATGGGACAAAGATGAGCAATCT